CAGTGCAATACAGGCCCAGCGGGTGGAGCTAGGCAGAACTGGGATCAATAAACCACATCATTGTTCACGGCCTGACTCATCGGTCACTTCACCTCCCCAGGCGCATCAAGGCAGAAATTCATTAGATTGCTCCTAACCTTCAGTTAGGAAGGCTTCTCTACCCCTCTGCTGGGAATCAAACAGCACGGAGGGATTTCCCAAATCCATAGGGAGACAGTAGTTAGCTTGCTAACATGTTCCAGGTCTCATCCCTGCCAGCTTGCACCAGGCAGGGCAGGGCAGCCCTGGACGGTTCTTGTGCCTGTAAGCACAAGTGACGCATAGCGGCTCTGCCTGGCCTCCGTCACACAGGTGTTCCCACGGGACAGAGGCATTCTGCGCTGTCAGCATGATATTCCTGCCAGTTCAGTTCGCCCTCAGGGTTATCACATTATGTCAGTATTATGAAGCTCCTGTATGCAAAACTAGAGAAAAGCAAGGCTTGTCCACATGCAGGTTTCTACCAATGGCCCCACACTGACTCCTTCCTGCCAGAGCCACCCCTGGCATAGCTTTGGAGGTGAAAAGTTTGATCCAGAGCAGAGATACACCAGCACAACACAACCAAGCTACATAAAAGCATATGAAGAGGAATTTAGAGGCACCAAGCCTGTGGGTTTGAAGGCATGGGTTATATCAGAGCTGTCTTCCCATAAGGAGAAACAGCTGATTAATCACCCTGCCTTAGCTATTACAAGTAAGAGGAGACAGACTCTGCTTCCAAGCCTAAACAGGCACAGAAAAGAGCTGTGTGATGAATGTAGAGGGAAAAAAACAGCCACACTCTGACTTGCAGATTGGCCCAGAGCGCATTCCTGTTGAGAGCTCCCTTCTGAGGATGGTTTGAGTGACAAGAGGAAAGGCACAAAAGCATCCTTTGGGGAAATGGGAATGTATGCAGAGAGCTGCGGGAAGGACAGCATTAAGCCATAATGTCTCACTGTTGGTCCTCACTGATTCTTCAGGTGGTTTGAAGTTGACAGCTTTTTCCTCCTTTTCCCCCAGCCCTCCTATGCCTTTGCTGTGCAGCCATGTAGGTGACTCATGCAAATGGTTTGCAGCTTACAGGAAACAGTGTCTGCTCCCTACTCAGCTTGTGGCTGATCAGTGCCCCTTTTCTTGGCTGTTTCCCCTGGAGAGATGGCTTTTTCCATCAGCTTTGCCAAGAGTGGTGGTTCTAAGACGCAAACCTGCAGCACGTGCTGTAACTCTCATAGACTGCCTCCTGTGCATCAGAAGATGGCTGTGAACAGCACAGAACAGGCTCAGTACATTGGTCCCTCAATACAAGCTGCATTCTAACTTCCTTGTGGACTCAGATACAGCATTACTGCACACTGCTAAAGAGCGGTCACACCCCACCCCAGACACAGCTGCATCTCACTGACAAGTTTAAAATTCCTGTTTTAGCAAATCAGCAAAGTTTTTTAGGAGGGAAAAATCTTAACAACATCACATGGCATTACTAATTTACTCAGCTAAATCAGCAACTGCCATCCCTGTTGACTTTGGACCAGCAGTAGAAAAGACTGCTTCCATCTTATAGAAGTTGGGGATGGTTTAGTAAAATTGCATCTGATCTCATGACTGCAAAGAGACTGCATTTTCATCAGCCATTCCCAAGTGAAACCAAAGTCCAAGGAACAGAATGGTGAAATAATTGGGCTACTAGCAGAGAAAGGAGACAGGATAAGAAACAGCCAGTTCTCAAACCTTGATCATGCAGGGGAACATTCCAGATGCCACGACAGTGGAAACTGGGGAGAGCAGGCCCAGGAGATGTAACACTGTGCCAACAACACATGCACTCACACACAGTCAGGCATCTCTGATGAGCAGGACAGACAGCTGTTAAATGAAACACGGCAAGAAGCTGAGATTTCCCTTTCTCTTCCTTTTCAATTGATTAGAAAAAGGAACAAAGCCACAGGCACCTGTGTTCATGGAGTTCACGCAAGTGTTGCAGGTGTCCCTACTATGTGACATTTGAGACTTTTCAAACCAGTATCTCCAGTTACTACCACTTCCAGCACAAGAACTACAGACCCTTCTAACACCTCCCTGGACAGACTTTTCTCAACAATTTCCCCAAGCAAGGACCTTCTGTCATAGCCACAGTCCCATTCACCCAAGTTCCCACCCAACTTACCCAAAACTCAGCAAACCTTCCCAGATCTGATAGCCTGGGATCCCCATCCCTCCATCTTGGCCCTCTTCCACCTTGCTCAGGGATCCTAAAATGATAATGAAGAATAAGAGGCTGGACCACGTCTTGCATTATGGTACGAACAACCATCTCAAGGACATCAGTAAAGATATGGGGACATGCTACAAATGCAGGACAGGACAAGGCCCAATGCCTTGCTAATCTGAAGTATCTATAATGCTCCTAAATTCACTATTTTTACAAGACAGCCTCCATCCTTTTTTGTCTGACACTGAACTTTATTTTTTCTTTAACCTGTGCTGAGTGCAGTTACATTTGGTGGCATAACAACAGGGAACAAAAAATTTACCATTGTTTTTGAAAGCAATAGCACCACTACCAACTTTCAAGAGCAAAACATGGAGCAGGTGGTGAGTAAATACAGTATTTACTATACAATTTGATCCACAGATTTTAAGAAGAGCTCTGACCAAAGGGCAGAGCTGTTCATCTGCTTGATCCTTTTATTATTAACTTCCATCTTTTTCCTCTGTTGACCAAAACTGAAGAGACGCGTTTTCTTTTCTTGGCCTCTTGAAACTAATATGATGTATCCTTTACACCCATCCACCATGAAAAGAGAGCGCCAGTCCATTTCACATAACTTTTCCTTTCCTTTGAAGACTAGGCCAAAGTGTTGCATATTCATTACCACATCAAGAACACTTTGCCTGAGGCCTGCATTTCTTGGTGTGCTGTAATAAGTTCAGGACCCCAGCTGTCTGCCTGGGGATTTAGAACACTGATATTTAATACTAAATTATAAGGCAGAATATTTCATTTTATTCTTTTTGCTGAGGCAGCCTATGTATAATGGTACGCTCTACAGCCACTAAATAAAGATGGGGAGAGCACATGTTTCTGTTCTGACAGCACAGTCTCCGGGTTTCCATGGTCTGGCCCTAGTCAGTTCAGTTTTTGGATGCCAGTCTCTGCTCTTAACCCTTTATTGGATCTCCCTAATGTCACACTTCCCACTAGCATCCAATAATACACTGGAGCAAACTGCAACATATTCCTAGCATGTTTATAGAAGCCAAATTAGAGCCTGCTACACTAACAGCTTTAACAAACCCTACACAAAGCAGGGCAGCTAATAAAACCAAAGTGTTCTGCAGTTAATCCTTGGAAGTTTGCCACTGAGATCCCACCAATACCATTTCAGGGATAGTGGCTTCATCAAGCTCAAACCCTGCTTTCATCTAATGAAACAGCCTAGATCCACGTTCTGACACCTCACAGCTTTATTCTTCCTCTGGGTTCTCTAATGACAATCTACAAAACATGTACAGCATCAGATCTGGACTGGGAAGTTTTTTAAAGAACATCAGCATTCTGGAAGGAACAGCAGAGAAATTAGTATTTCTCTAAGTAGTGCCAGATGTGTTTAAAAGCCACAAAGATAAACAGGAGGGGAAAACCTGCATAGTTTGAATTAAAGCTACTAAGAGCATAAACAATCCCCTCCAATAGCCGCAAGCTGACAGACCGAGTTCTTGCTAATTCTTTTTCCTCATCAAATCTGTGTTTCGTATCTGCTTTCCTACTTGAAGTTACACGAGCATGCACCTCCTCAGTTAGCGTGCTGGGGTAGAACATATTAAAGGTAAAAAAAGATTAGTCCAGTTTTTCTCCAGAAAAGCTCCAAGACACTCAGTGCCTCAATTACCAGGAAAACCATCAACCACCACGCTATGCTATGCTACCTTACCTCATTGCAATGGGAGACAGATAGGAAGCGTCTTGTGTATCTCATGACAACTACCTCAGCACCACAGAAATCACAGCCCTGTCCTTGAACGTACTGCTTTGCCTTCTTTCTTTCTGCATGCTTATTTCCTGGAACTATGGCCAGTTTGGGTTGTTAGTGGTCTGTCAGAGAAAGACATACACAGCTGAGCAACATCAGAATGGGTCATAGTTCTTTTAGTCCCCTATGTGGAGATAAAGGGGAAAAAAAAAAAAAAAAAGAGAGGGGAAGAAGTCTTTCCTGTGACTTTTTGATTCA